ACCGCTTAAACCACACAAATTCGTGCAGATTTATCAGAAATATTAAAACATAGTTACGTATAAACTTGTATGTAAATATTTTTTACCGAATCCTAAAACAATGAATGAACTTGAACTTCGCGTGTAGCGCTAGCACGGAATACATAATACAGTAACGCGGGCGTTCGGTGTCGGTGATGCGCGCTTTTTTATTCACATTGTTTCTATGTCGGCCATAAATTGGCAGACGACGATTCTTGTAATGCCAATTGAAATACTTAATACTATTTGTAAATAATCGACCATTTCTGAATAACTGAGCCTATTAGGAATAAAAAATCAAGATAGAGTACCTAAATCTATTAAGTATTTGAAATAGCTCGTGAACTTAAAACTATTCAGCCCCAGTAGCATTTTTATTCTAAATTTTATCGACCGTTGAGTAATAGCCCTTTAGGCGCAATTGTCGCTCCACCCTAGATTTAAATCGGTCTTTTTACACTTGACTAACCCTTTTACAGGGCGTAATTTTATGTATGACTAGCTGACCCGCGCAACTTCGCCTGCGTGTCTCAATAGTAATAAATTTTCTCCGTTTTTGAAACATTCTTCATTGGTGCTCCGCTCCTATTGGTCTTAGCGTGATGATATATAGCCTATAGCCTTCCTCGAGAAATGGGCTATCTAACACTGAAAGAATTTTTCAAATCGGACCAGTAGTTCCTGAGATTAGCGCGTTCAAACAAACAAACAAACAAACTGTTCAGCTTTATAATATTAGTTTAGATTTGCAAAGTATGCTTTGCTTCCTTAGTCTGGTCTTACGACACCCACGCCATGAATAGGGGTGGTGACACTCCGTATTCTTAATCCGTCACCACACTGAATAGACATTTCGTTAATCTTAAAATAGGCAAAAGAACGACACTACTACCATAATACCATACTTGTTAAAAAACCCAGGATTCACATTATGCAACCTTAATAAATACATACAATCACTGCTCATAAGATGTGGTTCTCAAACCCGTAAGTATAATTTCATTTTGCATCACAACTTTGATGAGTTAGTAGCGTTCAAGATCTCGTTTTGTCCATGTTATATTTTCAACTGCATCATAGAAACAAACTAGGTAGCAGGCGACGTCTATATTTATACTGATGACTTATAATAGAACAAGCTGTTTACGCACACTCAGAAAAATAATTATTGTCGTTGGAAAATTGTAATTAGTGTATATTTTTATGCCTCTTTAGATGTAGATAGGGAGATACTTTGTGTATGTGAATGTAATTGTTTAATGACTTGTTTTACACACTTACATATCAAGATGATACAGGAAAAAAATCTACCTGTAATATGTATGTAGTCACTTTAATATTATAAACGTGAAAGTTTGTAAGGGTTGATGTATGTTACTCAATGAGGGCATTTTTTTCTTTTTGACGGGGTGGTAAATCCCTTCGGATCTGCTGCTCCTCGGGGACTCAGGAGCCAGGAGTATGTTGTGATTCCATTGAAAACCAGCCCGACGGCCGGCCTCAGTTGCCCTACTCTAGGAGGACCCGGAGCATTTTATTTCAGGTCCTCCCCGAATTGACACCATGCCTAATTAGGGCCGTCGACGGCTGGTATCGTCGCCGACGTCCTTTGCGGTCGGGATCGGCCCTCTTCCGATCCCGTTCAGCATTACAACTACACAGAAAGAGACTACTGCGCCCCATCCCTCTTCACCCGCCAGCATGGCAACAATGATTGCTGGTTGGGACAGGTCTCGTCCGATTTGGTCGACCAGGACTTCTCGTCCAGACGCGGAGCAGTATTCCAGCGTGTGCTGGGCGTAGTCCCAGTCGGCTGCGCAGTGCTAGCATTGCCGTCTACTCGCGTCCAATCAGATTCAGGTACTCACCAAAGCAGCCATGCCCAGTGAGTACCTGCGTCAGTCGGTAGGTGATACGACCTCCCTCCCTATCAACCTACCCAAGTTTCAAGGTTAGCCAAAATGGCACCGACAGCACGTTTGCGCGTGTTCTGCGGCTGTTCTAACTGCCACTGCACCAGTGCCTGTCGGTGAGCATTTCGAGCTCGTCCTGGTCTTCCCCGCTCTCACTCCGGCGGATCGCGCGGGTCTGGACCTGAGGGCCTAGGCTGCTAGTTTATTTCACACCAATCGCTCTCGATGGCGAGCGCGTTCGGTGTTGTCATTTGTGAAGATTTCAGAAATTAGGCTAATCGCATCACCGATCGTGGTCACCGTGACTATCGAGTAGATGTAAAATAAACTCACACTAGGGCCTCTGAATGAAATTTTATCTCCGCAACAAATCGACGTATCATGAATCTAAAGAAAGTAAATCAAAGATAAACGAACAGACTATCTGGCCCATACGCCTATATGATCCTTAACCTAAAAAAAAATCGGTATTATAGTTCATTCACGTTAAGAAAATTGGCAAAAGGGTAGGGGACACGTCACTTCTTAACGCGAATGAACTATACTAACACCCTGTCAAAAGGATTTTTTTTTTACCTTAATTTTTGCGAGTAGTGTGTATATTATTTTAACCACATTTATATACTCTTGTTGTAAATCGAACCGAGGAATGATAAAAATGAATAGTGTCTAGACTGAAGTGAGTGAAGGGCCGTTTATTGAAACAGTTATTGCGGATGTGAATTGTGCAGGCATCGCCATTTACAATAGATATCCTTCTTGTGTTCTACGTCATCTTCGAACAAATGTCATCTTATATTTTAATGTGCTAATCGAAGCAATTATCAGTCATTTAGAAGGTAATGCAAAACCTGCGTTATGCGGTAACAAAACTCCTGATAAACATACTTATTTATTTAAAAATACATATCTATACATAATCTTAGAAAACTGAAGATTTTGTTTGTTTGGTTTAACGCGCTAATCTCAGTAGCTACTGATTGGGATTGAAAAATTCTTGTAGTGTTTGATAGCTCATTTATCGTGAAGGATATATAACATCACGCTACAACCAATAGGAGCCTAGCATTTATGAAGAATGTTGCAAAAACGGAGAACATTTATTCCTTTTGAGACATGCAGATGAGGTTGCACGGGTCAGCTAGTTGTAGATAAATTACAACTGGATACAGAACAAATGCTCATGCTACAATTATTTATACTGAGTGACAAACGAACCCAAGTCCACTGGCTTTGCTGTCAGAATCAATAATAGTCTCTGATAAGTGTTTATTTAAATAAATAATTATATTTTAAATAAATGAAATTTTCGCTACGCTGACAATTCCCATCAGGGTCAACTCGGATAAATAAATGCGGATAAATGCTCGGATATCTTCTTTACCGACCTTCCCACGTAGCATAAAATATGTATATACGGGCGTGAGCTTACCTTGCTTGCAGGTGCTGCTAGCTTCACCCATTAAGCAAGTGTGCAATTCAAACAATATAGAAAAACAGCATTAGATTGGGCTTTTACAGTTATGGTGTCAGTAGCAGGACATGAATGTTAGTTTTCGAATACACGCGCAGTCGAGCGTGTCTTCGAACATGCTCGCGTAGTCGCGAGGAGGATGACAGAAGGGATACGCATTTGCCTTGATGAGATTTATTCTACATGCATACAATTTTCAGCTTTATTGTAATGGCATACAGTTAATATTTTATTTACACTTTATAAATAATTTCTCGCTTAACGATACGGTAGCTAAAAACAAAAAACAACTTCATTAAATAAACATAAAAACACCATTAGTGTTAAGGTACATGACGCCTACATAAGTCCATTCCTATTTGTGAACGCACTGAGACAATTAAAACCTTTTAAGAACTCATATTACTTATTGCCTTGTCCCGTAGTTTGAGAGTTGTTGAGTTCGTACAAACACATACATACACATAAACTCTAGTCGTATATCCTCAAATGGGTAATCAAAGACGTTTTAAAGGTCACCATTTAACGACTATAATTTGAATCCCAAGCACTTAATAGGGGTAACTATTTAGTCTATTAATTAGGTAGGAAAATTGGGAGCTCCATATAAAGGGAACATTTGGTAAGATGAGATAGAATTCATCATCATACACGGCCGTCTGATACCAAATTGGATAGGGCCTGTACTATGGTAACCAGACTGCTGTTAAACATACGTATATATTACTAAATACATACACATTATAGATAAATTACACCCAGACTCAGAACAAATGATCCTGTTCATCATACAAATTATTTGTCCTTTCTTGGAATCGCACCTATACCTTTGGCTTAGCCAGGTTTACTAACCACTAGATGAACAAGCCAGTCAAATGACAATGAAGACTTCGATTATTGTTTTTAAATCACTTTAATTACATTGCATACGATAACGAATACACATCAAAACAAACACCTCTATTTATGTTCGAAGGAGGAAACGAATTATAAACGTATGTTATCAGCGCTCGTAGAAATAGCACGAAGTGTCCACGGTTGGCGACTACTCCGATTTATCTTTATGCTTGTAAGGAGTGAACGTGCCACAAACGTGATGCTGCTATGCGATATCTTTGTTTCAATGAACTTTTTTGTCTGCAGACTCGATGACATCTTTTCGCTGTCCCCGTTATACACAATAATATGTAGCAGGTGTAATGTCTGATTGTTTTGTGGGGTAGTCTTTGTATATTATATCAGAGATTCATGTATTGCATTAACCAGTATAACTTGAACTATCATTGTGTAAACTTTTGTAACATGGCAGGTCAAAATATATATTAGACCCTCGTAGATTTATGAAGCTTTAACTTAACTTTGTAGAACATTTTCTTAAACAATGACACTAAGATTATATTAGTTGCCGAGTGGTGTTCGATGACGAAATTAGGTAACGTGTTTTCATAAACCTTCTGCTGATCAACGCCAACGGCTAATCGTATTACCAATGAGAAGAACATTAAGCCCCGTAGTGGGATAATTTGGTGTTTTGTTTAGTTCGGATGTAGTGATGATAATGTACTAAAATACGTTTATGTTTAATGTTTCAGGGATGCATTTCTCACAGTCAGTCGCCATCATACAAAGTCAAGTGGGCACAATAAGAGGAGTACAAGTACTTTATAGTGATCAGGTAATTATAACTATTAGTTTTGTAAACATTTATATACTATTGTAATTAATATTTATAGTGTATAGTAATTCATATTACACCGTTGTTCCGTAGCTATTTTCAATTCATAGTGCCGGGACTTCAATTGACTAAAAACGTAAGGTGTTTCGTCACGCTGTCTTAGTACGGGGATCTCAATTAACTAAAAGAGTTCACGGATGGCGTAGTGGTTTAAGCGGTCCTACGCCGCTTCCTATTGTGATGAGTGTTGTGGGTTTCGTTCCCTGAGTCTGGGTGTTCTTTTGTCCGTTTGTAAAGTCCCTCGCGACACAGGATTCAGGATTCCTAATGAGAGAGTAGTCTTTTTAATTTATACATATACCAGTAGGCTTCTACTTCACATCCAATGTAACTGCGACGTTATTGAGCAATGTGTGTTCTCATAAACAGTCGAGACTCGAACACCTACGCACAATACAATCTGAACGCGAACAGTCCTAACGCTATTTAGGTGCCTAGGTGACCATGACCTTTAAAATATTTACAGTTAGAACAAAACGCTTTAAAAATGGTTTTATAAACTTTGAAGACTTTTTCACTAAGTACCTACTGTAATGCCCGGAGAAAAGCCAAACTTAAGTGGCAGTGGGCGGGGCAAATTTGCTCGCCGAAACGATGAACGATGGGACCACAAAGTTCTCGAGTGGCCACCGCGTACTGTTAAACGCAGCTTGGGTAGGCAGGCAAACAAGGTGGTCCGACGACCTGGTGAAGACTGCGGGTAACCGCCGGCCAGTACAGGACCGGTTCTTGTGGCGAACCTTGAGGGAGACCTATGTCCAGCAGTGGACATCTTTCGGCTGAGATGATGTAGACCTACCATAGTAAACTTTACCTCATCGTTGCTCAAATGTCATCTACTTTACATAGTGGATATGAAAAAAGTTTATGAAACAAATTACAGTGTTATCGGTTCTAGTTAAGTTTAAAAAAGTAGTAGAATAAATATTAACTTACAGATTACTTTAATAGACAGAACATCAAGCGAGTGCACCGCGCAATTCTCGAAGAAAGGAGTTTTTTAGTATTTCATCTTCTTAGTGTCGTACTTGTATTAAGAATCAAGAAGAGCTTTATTTTTAGTACTAATTAAAGTGTTATTTCCTTTTTTCAGAATCCGTTATCAGTAGACCTAGTAATAAATATGCCACAGGACGGCATTCGGTTAATATTTGATCCTGTGGCGCAGCGACTCAAAGTGATAGAGATCTACAATATGAAATTAGTTAAGCTTAGGTATAGGTAAGTGTACCAACTAAAATATTTTTTTAGCTCATTTTATTTTTGCTAAACCATATTATAATCCGTGTTGTCACGGATTAAGAGTACGGAGTGTCACTACCCCTATTCATCAAGCTACGCAGGACAACAGCACTGCAAAGAGAAGAAAAACTTGAAACAAACCTTATACCAACACGTGTGGCCATCATGGTATAGTAGGCCAAAACCTCTTGTCTAAAGAGAGACCTATATCTAGCCAGTGGACCAAGGCTGATGATGATGCAATTATTAATTTCCAAAAAAGTATTATGAAAACATCTAAGCAGTTATCTAACCTCTTTTTCTTCCCCTCTGTTCTTTTCTGTATGATGAGAATTTTATGTATGTACTTTCTGTAATCCCGACTAAAATACAAAGTTTTATAATAATCGGTTCACTTTAGCACTTATAATGTTAACAGTTGTTGCCCGCGGTTTCTCACGCGATGATGTGGATTTTAGGAATTAAAATTTTCTGGGATTACTTATTTCTTATTCCAAACTAGTCTATTTTTGCACCAAATTAAATTCAATTTCGTTCAGCCTTTCTGACGTCATTGAGTAACAAACATCCATCAATACATTAAAATTATCACATTTATAATGATATATAGAAAATACTAGGTAAAGATTCAACAAGGATTCGGTCTCCGTAAGTCCTTTATTCTAGTGAACAACGTGCTTTGAATAGATTTGTTCACCTTCAAACTTATGTTCTAGTCATTAATTGACATTGAAATGGTAATCATGGCAACAGGCGATATCGTACGACACAACGTCACGAGTTCAAACACACTGGAGTGCTGATACAGTTGAGAGATAATGGGTTCACTGTTTCAAATGATTTTAAATAAATAAATGTTTGTGTTATTTTCCCTTCCTAGATAAATACTCCGGGCGAGTATAGACCGATAGATATATCATCTGTATCCATATAATATATACTACATGTCGTATCTGTTTGTCTGTCTGTTACCTCTTCACACTTAAACCGCTGAACTGATTTAGATGAAATTTGGTATAGAGATAGTTCAAGTCCAGAAAAACGACTTAGGATAGTTTTTATCCCAGAATTCATCCTTTAACGGGTGAAAGGGGGGAGGGGGGTTGGGGTGGAAGTTGGTATGGGATATCAATAACCGCTAAACCGATTTAAATGAAATTTGGTATTTAGATAGTTTGAGTTGTGGGGAAGGATATACAATAGTTTTTATCCCCGTATATGAATGTATTATGTAAATATTATAAATGCGAAAGTAACTATCTGTTACGCTTTCACGGCTAAACCGCTGAACCATTTTTAATGATATTCGGCATGGTGATTCTTTGATTCTTGAGGAACGGCATAGGCTACTTTTTAAGTAACATGCACCGGGCGGCGTAAAAATATGTAAACCGTAGTGGACAGGACGGTTATTTAATATATTATAATATAAAAAATATCTTTCGAGTAGCAAAAATATAAAAATGATTTAGAGACAAATACGACAAAAATAAATTAAATTTAATAAAAATATAGATAAAATTAACATATAATTTTTTTATAATGTGATACTACACATGATGATCTGTTTTACTTTTACATGATGGTACTATCGTACAGAAAGCTCACTCATTAAAGATGATATAAAAAGAAACTAATATAATAATTCTACGTTATTAGTAACAAAATATATTTCAAAAACTTGCATGTCGATACGATTTTTTCATAATGTAAGAATAGAATAGAATAATCTTTATTGTACACCAGTTTAGTACATTATACATAAAATAGTATTTTAAGTTAATGACCATGTAGAAATGGCGGCCTTACGCTAAAAAGCAATTTCTTACAAATGTGTACGTCATTTTGTATCTTATTAATATAATATTTGATGTTACCTCCCCTCCAGTGGTATGTGCTTCAATTCACCGGAGATCACGCCGAGTATCGAGCAGGTGGAGCATTGTTTCGGGGCGACTCACCCCGGCCTCTACGATTCGCAGCGACACCTGTTCGCGCTCAACTTTAGAGGACTCTCCTTCTATTTCCCCGTTGAAAGCAAGTTTGAGGTGAGCCATCTAGGACCTGCTTGCGGCACACTTGAGGTATAAAATCATATATTATCGTATATTGTGATAGTACAGTATAATACTAAACAAATTTAATTTATTTGTGAACAATCATCTTATGTCTTGCCTGTAGATGTTAAATAATTTGATCGCATCTTTCGGAGTCAATTATTATTCTGTAAAATTCTTATAGAAGTTGTTAAAAGACGCCTTTACCCATTTTGTCGTGTTCTATTGTTTGTGAAAACCCTCGGAGTAAGCCGGTATGTCGTACTGAAACTGATTAGCACCTTACGATGTTCGAATCTAACCCACGCAGAATGTCGGATTCTCAAAATGTTATACGTGTCTTTAGAGGACTATTCCCTTAAAATAACAAATACAATAGAAGGTGTTACTAGCCAATTTTCACATTCGAAGAAAATATATTTAAATATATTTTTCCAGAGACATTCCGCTATGCTTTTCTTTTTTGATAATTCTATAATAAGTAACTTTTTTGATTATAAGTCGTTATAAAATGTTAACTACTCTTATTTAGTGTATTGATCTTTGCGGCTCGCATTTATTTTGATTAATTGTGTAACTTTTGTGAGCTCGATTCTCTCAGTGTGTATTTTCTGCGGCCGTAGCCGTCTGATCCGATGAGCTTGTAGTGACTGACCTCGATTTGAGGTTTCTTTCTTCTGCAGTACGTGTCTACATATAAATAATACAATACGTAAGATATTGTTTGCAGGTTGATTAAATTTGCTAAGAACAATATATACAAGATGTAATGGAAACAAGTACTTACTTACAGTTCTACATTTAAATATCAAAACCTGGGAAGGATATAAAACACATTTGATATGTAACACAATTAATAAAAGCTGCCGTTTCGTTACTAAAGCTACATTTATTTTATATTCTTTTGGAACTCATAGCTTACTTTATTTAAAAATAAACTGAGCTTAAGTCATAAAAAACTGTCCTTTAATGGCTTCGTTGCTTGTCAGATTGCGTTACAAATCATGTCATGCTTTAATAACAGGGTTTTTCCTAGCCGATATAAACTGTTCAGAGTAAGAGACTAATAAGAGATCTCTTTTGTAATGTCTCTGGTATAAATTGGAATTTAAATATACGTTTTATTAGAGTTTGGAGATTAGTTTTTAAATCTTTTACGGCTTCCATTAATATTTATTAACTTACCACCTTGTTTAGCTTTCACCGTTCCTAAAACACCTGGGCAGTCCATGTTCTGTTACACTTTGTATATATTGAAAATAATTTACATTCTTACTAATTCATATATGAAACGGTAATAAATATTAAATTGGTATGTAAAATAAATAGGTCCACATACCTATTTGTATTACACAACATTTTGTTAATATTTCTTTCCGTTTTGTGAAACACTTGCGGTCCATTAGTTCTTTATACATTTTTTTTAAACAGCTTTCTTTTAGTTTCGTATGTAACAATATTCGCAAACTGAAATAAATATTAAATTGTAAAGTAAAATTAATACTTACCCATTATCTTTAAACAACATTTTGTTTTTATATTTCTTTCCGTTTTGTTAAATACATGCGGTGCATTAGATCTTTATAAAATATATTTTAATCACGGGTATTTTAGTCACTAACATAAGGCATAAAAGTTTTATGGCAGTGGCAACCAAAAGACATCAAACAGATTAATGTCATTGAATAATTGTCTTTAGTTAAGAAAAAATAATTAGATACTGAATAGGGTGTAAACTGCCTGAATAAAAATTAAAAAAATATAAATGAGAACAATCAATAATGCCTCCACGATTGCCTCCATATTCCGTATAGACAAGGGACACGATTTACCCACAATGTTACTATTTTTAGTGATTTTATTTTGAGTTGACGTTTTTGTTGAAGTGAAAACTTCTTTAGGCTCGTTGGGCATTTTTGAACAACAAACAAAATAATGTATTTTTTGAGATGGGAAAAAACCATTAAATTCGCGACACTGTTACCGCTACCGACACCTCTGTATATAAGTGTCTACATATATTGGCCCCGTTTACACGAGTGTTGAGTTTGGGTTGAAATACATTGATAATATAACTATATATAATAAAAACATATATTGTGCATATATATTATTATATTCATGTCGGAACTTTTCAAATCGAAATAAAATTCTGTTATGATAAAAAAAAACAAGTTTTCACTTCTGTCGCCAGTGCCACTGCTTTTTTTTCTGTGGTAGGAAAGCAAACGAGTGAACTGTTTGCTTTTCATACCACAGAAAAAATGCCCATGGACAAAAGACATAAGTGCTTCGCCGCCATTGTGTGACACCGGTTTTCTGACCGTTATTACTCCGGTCGAGACTGCCTAAATGTGGCAAAGCATCTCGCAGACTTTGTGTTATATTTGAACTGTTTCTTTTCTTGTAACAGTTGCATTGTATCTTTTTCAGCCTGGCTATGCTCACGGGCTGGGCTCCCTACAGTTTCCTAACGGCGGGTCACCGGTAGTGGCCCGAACCACTATTTATTATGGATCTCAACATCAAGTAAGTTGTCTCAGCAGTCAAGCTGACAGTATAAAATTATTAGTTATGACAACATTTCAAAAGATTTCGGTTTTATTCTTTTATGACCGGCTTCTTGACATCAACCTTCTTTGAAAATGTATTCGTTTTCAAACAAAGAAGGGATAAAGAAGGAACTTAAGGTACGGAAAATGCATTGGATCAGGGACTAGGGTAACGGATACCGTATTGGAACAAGATGGTTTTGCGTAACCCGTGTGTCCGTTCTGTGGATAAAAAGGCTGCTAGGATAGGGCATCTGCTTTTTTAAAATTAAATACAAAACATGATTATACTTTGGAAATTATGTACTTTTTGAGATTTTTATTTGGAGTTTTAAAAATAATTAAATCAGAAGGACATTTTCCCTAGGATAAATACGGTCAAAATTCAGTTGCGATCTACTCTCGATCGCAACAAATATCATAAATTGCCGTAGTAAAGTATTAAACATCCAACGTTGACTGTAATGTGATTATATCGTATTGTGACCGAAAGTTGAATTGGTAATCTGCTAGTCTTACTAATACTTTACTATTATACTACGAAAATACCTTTTATGACATTTGGGAGATCGAGAGCAGATCGGAACAAAATTTTGATCGAATTTTTATTAAGAGACTTGGACTTTTTGGAGACTGAAATCATTTATTAGCAATTTGATGTATTTACCATTTCTAGATATCTTTATTCTGCCTGTCATATATTAGCTGTCATTTATTTATCCTTTGTGCCGTCATTTTGAAAATTGCATGTCTTTATCACTATGGATTTAACTCGTGAAAATTTTCTAACTCAAAAACAGTGCATCGATCAAGTCACTTCGGCTTTTAGGGAGCACCATCAAAAACAACTGTGTATCACTGGTTTAGTGAGTTTAATCGAGGGCGGTCTGTGCTCACGGACGAGTTTAAAGAAGGTCGTCCTAAATCGGTTTTTGTACCTCAAAATATAGATGCTCTGTGCGGGAACTAATAATGCAAGATCGTTGTTACATATCGCGAGATAGATGCGTCTCTGGGAATAAGCATGACGAGTATATATAAAATATATATTACACGATAATGTAGCTGACAATTGACCAAAAACGGGCTCGTGTCGATTGGTGTAAAAAATGAGCTGAATCCAACAAAAGTCATTCGTTCAACAAGCACTTTGAAGCAAATGGTCGCTTGTTGTTTTGGTATAAATGGACATGGCTACAGTGCCACTAGAGGATCGTAAAACATTTAATTTTAAATGGTACACGACATTTTGTTGCCTGAAGTTTTTGAAGAAAAAAGAAAGACTAACCGACAACCCAGAATTCTTCTTCAGAATGACAATGCTAGCTGCCACACATCGGCTGAAACAACTCAGTATTTGAAAGATCAAAAGATTAGAATTAATGGGTCATCCACTGAACAGCCCTGCTTTGGCCCCCAACGACTTTTTATTTATTTATTCCCAACCGGGAAGAATAAATTACGTGTTCAAAGTTTTTCGAGCCGTGAAAAGGCTGTTGAAGCGTTCAAAATGCACGTTTTGGAGATACTACAAGCAGAATAGAAAAAGTGCTACGAAAATTGGTTCCAACATATGCAAAAGTGCATAGATCATTACGGCGAGTATTTTAAAAATCAATAAAATTATAATAAATGTTTGTTTCACTTTGTTATTCCGGATACATAAATGGCAGCTCTCGCAAACCAGAGGTCGTGGGTTCCGTTTACATCGCGGGCAAATAGTTGTTTAATGAGCACAATCATTTGTGTCTGGTTGTAATTGCCTATAATAGTTCTGTCAGTCTGGTTACCATAGCACAGGTACCTAGTATGGGATCAGACGGCCGTGTGTGTCGGGAATAAATGTGGCCCTTCGTAAATCTGTGTGTTATTTTGAAATGTTGTAAGATTGGATTGTAATGTTACAGGCTAGCCAAACAAATAACGGTAGCGTATACGGAGCGCCTTTACCGGAGTTACCGTTATCCTGTTATCGACATCAACTGCATCTACGTCGTTGTGACGTGTTGCGAACGAGCACTAGCACCGTCGGCCTCAGGCTGCACATGTTCACCGAGGGTGAGACTTGATGATTTTCCACCTTAAGAGGTGTTATGTTTTCTTCAAATTTGAATAGAAACAATCGCGTTTTTATTTTTCAATCCATTTTTTTCTAAATGGAAGAGCTTCGAGGTGACATAAAATCGAATTGAGAACCTACTCCCTTTTTCGGAATCGGCTGGTATATGATGTTTCTTGTGTTTTGTGCAGCTCCTGGCAGGTCTGTGACAGAAGGGGGCGGCGGCCGGTCCGTGTGTCGCGTGGTGCGCTTTGGTAGCAGCGCGCAGAGTGTCTGTGCGGCTTTGGGTGAGTTGTGCTTTGAGATTTAGTTATGTTTAAGATTATTCTTTTATGAGTATTTATGTCTTATATTTGTAGTACGAGTTTCATTTACTTATTAAAACAAAAAGCATGTTCTAGATTCACACAAAATAGTTTTGTCGAGACCAGTGTCAAACCTACAATAACTTCAAATAATGTATGTTTATATTAGAAACTTCAAAAGAAAGGTTGTATTTTTTCTGTTTTTAAAACGTATTGGTATCTACTCTAGTACATCACAAGGAGTGGCTAATAGCATGTACTGAAATTTGGATTCAGGTTGGTCATTTTGATGTTTGCAGCTTATCAGTGGTGTGTGTGTATATATGTATAAATGTGTGTATGTGTCTATTATTCAGATATTAAGAAATTATATTTGGTTGTGAAAAACTGTATTATGATTGGTTTACTTATTATTTGACGGGCCTGTTGGTCTAGTGGTTAGTGACCCTGATTGCTACGCCAGAGGTCGTGGGTTCGATTCCCACCCAGGACAAATAATTGTGTGATGAGCACTGTCAATTGTTCACTTGTGTCTGGGTGTACTTTATCTATAATAAGTATGTATTTAGAAATATAAGTATATTTATCAGCAGTCAGTTTACCATAGTATAGGTTCTGCCTAGTTTGGGATAAGACGGAGATGTGTGAAAATATTATTATTATTTAAAATATTATTATTTAGTTATTGTACCATGACATGCAAAAACCAAAATTATTTTATTATAGTTATAAGCCTAATACTATAGACACTTAGGGAGTTCTACACTACACTACACTACGCTACATGACATGCTTAAAGCTAAGGTGTCTGAACTAAAATTGCTTCCACATACTACATTTTGGACTATTTTTAATATATCTGTATCTTCTGAACAGACTGTGACTCAGAAGGTAAGGTGCAGTTGTCTCTAAGAGATCACAGACTACGATAAGTTTGCCCATTGTACGAGTACAATACTTTTTTGGTGTGCAATAAAGAGTATGTATGTATGTACATATGTAACGGTGTGTGTTTATGTGTGTGGTCAGGTGCGCCGGCGCGCACGTACTACAAGGCGGACGACAAGATGCGCATCCACCGCCCCACGGCGCGCCGCCGGCCCCCGCCCGCCTCCGACTACTTCTTCAACTACTTCACTCTCGGATTGGTGAGCCGCTCTCTCTTGCCCCTTTATCAAATAATGCTAAAGTTAATAAATATTCCAGTATTGTATCATTTATGGGTATACTGTATTGTTATAACTACGATAAATTCTTCATCCTCAGTAAAGAACCTTCGTCGAGTTTGAAACAAGTTGCGCCTAAAATATAAAGTCGATTAGTATTATCAAATAGTATCTACATAAATAAATAGACTCAAGCCAGAACTTACAGATGAGAAAAATAAAGTAGAGGATATTGCGAGAGTAAGCGATAGCATTTCTACATTTCAGGGTCACATCCCTTTAACCGACTGTTAAGAACTGTAGCCCTTGTAACAAAAACTTTACTGTATCTTAAAGTACAAGTAAAGTACTATTTAACTGATTTATCGATTAAGGTTGAGTAAAAGCATCACTGCAACAATATCTTTTTCATACATTTGAGATTTTATACAAATTAGAATTCTGATGAAACTGGATCATTATTTGCTAAGTATTTAAGATTATAAATTTATTGAATGAAAATAATTATTCCAGGATGTGTTATTCGATGCGCGTACGCATCAAGTGAAGAAATTCGTTCTCCACACGAACTACCCGGGGCATTACAACTTTAATATGTACCACCGCTGCGAGTTCGAGCTCACCGTGCAACCAGACAAGTGAGTTACATCCTTTTTGCATTAGGACTGTGTTTTGAAGTTTCATAATAGTGATTTTTTTCTTTCGTAAAATTTGAATCTTGTTGTGTAGGAACTGGTCCAATTTATCATACCAATCAAGTGCTCTAAATTGCATAAAATATATTTACGCAGTTGTTGGTATAAAAAAGTATTTCGAATCGAAAAAGAAATTTATTTTGCATAGTCCACGATCCTTTTTCTATTGGAAATGTGTCGAGTTGTTGCAATGAGCTATGTGTGGTGGTGTGTACCCAGGTGCGAGGCGCGGTCGCTGGTGGAGTCCCTGGGCGCGGTGTGTATCACGGCGTACAGCAAGTGGGAGGTGGTGTCGCGCGCGCTGCGCGTGGCAGAGCGCCCCGTCGTGCTCAACCGCGCCTCCTCCACCAACACCACCAACCCCTTCGGCTCCACCTTCTGCTATGGATATCAGGATATGATATTTGAAGTACGTATAACTCTCCACTTTTAGAGGCAATTTCCCCATTCCGACAAATTTGAAAGTACTATGAAAAACGAAGATAATGCAAATTCATATTTAATAAATGTAAAAGGGAGTAATTTAAAAATTCATTCACCAATGGAAAGCTACATTATCAGCAAGTAATAAAAGTAATTATCCGTCTGCTCGTCTGCCCCCTCTAACATAAAACAAAGTAACATAGACTACTCTTACCGCGATAACCGACGTACACGAAGGCGTAGTCGCGGGCAAAAGCTATTAATGTATATATTATTTGAGTTATATTGTATACAGCTAATACTATCTATATATTTCTTTGCAAACAGCCATAAACTGCCAATAAGCGGGAACTGTCAATACTTCCTTTAACGCTCCGTCGATAGTTCAATAATAATGTTTGTATGTGTTGTCCAGGTGATGTCCAATAACTACATAGCGTCGATCACCCTGTACCAGCCGGAAGGCACGCGGCCCCACTACACGGTCAACAGCATCGCGTGACATACCCAGGTGATTATATACAGTTATTTTTACTAGGATAGGACTATTAAATGTTGTGCACGGAGGTCCTAGTGTGAGTTTATTTCACATTAGCTCGCTCTCGACGGCGAGCGCGTTCGCTGTTGCGATTGGTGAAGATTTCAGTGCGGGCCAATCGCAATGCCGATCGAGTTGAAATGAAATAAACACACACTGGGTCCTCAGATGTAATAGGAGGTTCATAATATGTATGTAAAAACGCTATTATTTTGTTACGTAATCTGTTGTCTGCACTAGTTTTATAAAAAATAATACTAAAATAGTTAAGAATTCATAAGACCGGTTATAATCTTTGTGTAGTCAAATTTTTGGTCAAGTGTGAATTGAGTTATGTAGAATAATTCTTTTAGTAATCCTTTGTATTTCCTGTACATTTAGGTATATATCCGCGGATACATACGAGTACCTTATTATTACCTGTTAAAGTTAAAATCGGCTTATTCTGTAGTTAATGCCGTTATACGCGTAACCTTTAAACTACAGTTGACGTTCAGGACTTAATAATGTGATATGTTTCGAGTGATGATAAGTTTCGACACTGCGTGTTATTTTATAATAATTATATTTTAATACATATATCACAAAGATTTTGAATGTGATCGCGTTATACAATAGTCCAATAGTATCTTATGTTTTGGTTAATAATATTAGTAAACTTACAATTTAACTCAAAACACTCAACGTTATTCTATATTTCAATATTTAAATTTAGGAAAATATCTGCAATTCCATTAACGTAATAAAATATAATAATGTGAAAGATCTCATCTTTTTTCTCCCTCGGATATCTGCGGATGCGGATATGGTTATTAACACGTCACTAATACAGCCATAGGACTTGCCTCTATAAGTACAAGCGAGGCTTAAACAAATTGAAAAAACGTTACATATATGTTATTAACATATTCGTTTAGCTTATATATTTGATTATTATTATTAATTTTCTACCCTCACAGGTATCTCCAAGCAAAGGTAAAAAATACACGTCCTGAACGATTTCGGTTGTCAGTCACCACACAAAACCTCCACTAGTGTGGTACCGTCTCCCTCACACACGCGAAATGTTCAACTTTCAACAAAATAACTTCAGCATGAAGTGACTACATATCTTAACCATGAAGCACCTAAGAGGAAGCAGTATTTTAAAAATGTGATAAAAACTGTGAAAAAAAATAATAAAACTCGTAAAAAAGTGAGTGACAGATCTCAGTCGATGTGTTATAAGTCTTATTTAATTCCTTAGACGAACTATAGGTAATGTTCTTAATTTTAAGCTTAAATAAGTTGGTATTTCAAAAAAAAAAGAACATTTTAAATAATTAATTAGTCAAATGTGTTCTCCTATCTTTTACTTTTTTAAGTTTCATCATGCAAAAATATATTGTTTAAATGTGTTTTTGCATGATGAATGGCAATTTTTAAATAGAAAAAACTTTGAAAATCTATAAATAGACTGCTGTAAATATTTTTGAGAACTCGATGAGAAATAATAATGATGTAATGAAATTGATGTATTTTTTCTAAAAGAGAATGGTTTTGATGAAAATGATAGGTCATAAATGGAAATAATGTTCATACAATATAATTATTAGCACCACATCGTTGAGTTAGTTCGTACAATATATGTATACTGTGTCACCATTATCAATAAACTTTAATAGACCTCTTTATTTGATACATATCTTAATTTAATTTTTTTTTTGGACAGTGTTATTTTTTTTATCTATGTAATAAAAAGTATTGAAATATTTTTGTTATAAATTATTTTTGAAAATCGTTCAGTGTGTGCGTGTTGTCTTGGTATGTCTTAGTAGTAATTTAATAAAAAATGTATGAGATAATGGCTTTTAAGAGATGCTTGATAAAAATAAAATATTTTCTATACTTAAGTAATTGATGATTCACGTGTGAGAATGCTGTAACACGTTTTAATCATTTTTAGTCACAAAATAGCCTTGAAACTTTTGATGGCTTCGTAAAATAAGGTATGGTCTATTTATTAAGCATGTTTCTTCTGAAGGCTCTCATTTCATTGTTTTTTTAATTCTAATATTTTTTTAGTCCAATAACCAATTAGGTACTCATTAGAACCAAAAATATTTAAGCAAAAAGGTTCGTTGTTCAAAAATACATGTGTTTGAATACATTAATATTAGGTTTTTACCAATAAGAATTGATGTCATTGTTGCAGTAAACCTTGTAGCTCTCAGGTGATGCACGCTGTTTAATATAGACTATATAAACTTTTCGATATCAGTCTTGGTAAGGCGAAAGCAAACTGCTTCTTTTATATGTTTTGATATTGGAATTACCATTGTAACAAGATATATAACAATCTATAGATAATATATAAAAGGTATACGACTATTTTTATACTGCCTCTTCAGGATACTTTTATTATGTAAATCAAAGAAATCTGGAGCTGATGGAATAGTAACTGTAATATTTACATTACCTGCCTACTTACATTTTCTCAATTAAATTGGTTTATCAATTAATAATTTGGCAGTGTCAATTATATTTAAGTGTTGTTATTAGACCATCATGCATTGATCCATCGAAGATTCATCAGAAATTGTAAATTTGATCTTACTTTTGTCTATTAAGTTTCTATGATGCATTTAATTGAAAATATCCCTTGAATTTTATGAAATCAAGATAGGTAGTTCAAGAATAATAAGTACTAATACATATCTTTTGGTATAGTTGATCCCAAGTAATTTCGTTCATCAGGTAATATTTTATGCATTTTTTTTGGAGATGAACTAAAAGGGTAGCCCTATCTAAATTCACTGTCTGAGAAGCATCTGAAGGTAGCAGTTCGCTTTGGTCCAAAAGCTTTGAATGTATTCATAGTGCCAATGTACATTTTATTTAAAATTCGTGCCCAAAGTCACTTGTTTAATAAAGAGCTTACAGTAGGCTACTAAAATGATGAGAGGCGGTTGTGATCTTGTTACTAAACTGCTGTACCAGCAATATGATCCTTTAAATTCGAAAAGGTTTCCATGTTGCTTCTATTAGCTTTTGAATTGTTTATGAGATGTGAATTGGGCTTTTATAATTTATATTTTACTGTCGTTTTTGATATAATAAGGAATATTGAAAAAAATATGATAATGTTTATTCACGACGATAATGATCAGTAACTATTCAAATGTTACAGAGCAGCCAGCTTTTTATGCCACTGGCGTCTGTTTTTATTCAGTCTTGACTTTAACGAAGTACTATAGTAAAGCTTTCTAAAAGGCTACATAGGTACTTACTTTCTATGCTAAGCGAAACAAAGGTTACAAAAATTAAGCTGAATTAATAATATTTAAATATATATATTCCACTTGATAATCACTGATATTTAGATATAACATAAAATAATGATTTGTTGTTACAATTACAAAATAAATATTTTTGGTGTTTTCCACTGAATACTAAGGGTGTTTCTACATGCTGCAAGTAGCTTGCGCATGTTGAGGCATTTGCACAGGTTATTTTCTTCCTTCGTCTTTGCTCGTCAATCTACTTGTACCATGTAGAAGCACCCTTAATGCTACTAGTATAGAAGTTCCACGATAATTTAAATAAATAGCGACTCTAGCTTTGACACAATTAAGTTCAAAACAGGTCGCACAGCGGTAATCACTTATAGTTATATTCAGCTAGAACTTGCGTCTCTTTCTATCACGTGTCTAGTCTCTTCTGACGAGATTTGCATTTTTTATCTCCTATAGAAGTGTATAAAACCTGAGTTTTGAGTACTTGTTATTATCTAAGCAGCCAAATACGATGCCATTCTGATTAAGAAACACATTATTCGTTTAAAAATCTTCAAAAACAATTCAAAAGTAATGTTAGTATGTATATTTGTGCACAATGAGTCACTTGTGTGAATCGTCGTATAATGTGGCTGTGGTGCCATATAAAAAAAAATTAAAAAATTGACAAATAATACTATAAAAAAAGCGTTAAATTTAAGGTAGCTTTATGCTGCGCTCCAGTTGAGTGTGTTCGGATATTTTGACAGATAGAATAAAATCAAAGAGGACTTTTTGGTATTCGCAGCATTGAGTTGAAGATAAACATCTCATTTACCACCATCTCAACTAAATTAGACTATCAAAAGCTCAAATCAAAAAGCTCGTTTCAGTAAGTGTTCTTAAAATAATATGGACGGATAAAGTAAAAATAAGTATGAAAACAAAGATTTAAGCATTATTTGAGATGAGTGAAAGTTAGGTGATTTCCAATGCTTGAGGACAGATCTGTATATATACCCATAAAAACCTTCGATTTAAAAAATAGCATATTGGTTGAATAGGATACCGTCAGGTCAGACCCTTAATAGATTTTAGGTTTTTGTTAACATATTGATATAGACGACTGCACGGATGGCGTAGTGGTTTAAGCGGTCCCTCGCCGTTTCCTACTGCGCTGAGTGTTGTGAGCTCGATCCCGTGCAACAATCCACTATTGGGTTCTTGTAAAGTTGATGGATCAAGTTAAATCGAACAGTATGTAATTATATATTAAGTAAAAGTTATAAAAATTGTATGTTCTGTACAAGTTATTACTTTTAAGCTTAATGTTAAAAAATAAATACTTATGTTTGAAGATCAAATATCTTAGTAATCTACATTTTCTCTTCAACAAAAGATATTATTTATTAGTCATTTTGTTGTCCAATAATGTGTACAAAAAGCAGTAATTGTTTTTTTTAAAATAGACATATAAGTGAATTACAAAAAGTAGGTAGCTACACAAAAGTTTTTAAGTACTAAAGTTTCATATAAATGTCCTTGCCAAATGACATCTGACGTCTGTCAAAACATCTGCACACCAACGACTCAATTATTTTTATAACGTTTAGCATATTACGTCACTGGATGACGCGTATCGTTCGATTACGTTACTTAATGATTGTATAACTATGTCAGCTGTCGTGACGCACTGTGTAACTTGATTTA